TCTTGCCTACTCTGGCGTTGAAATCACCAAGGATAATGATCTTATCGTCTGCAGGAACCTTTTGGGTAAGGAGGCGCAGGTCAGTGTAAAATTTATCTTTTTCAGTAGGGTCAGCTTGGAGAGTTGGGGCATATATACTAAAGATGACAACATGTTGCTTGTTGTTAAGTGGAAGGCGTAGGGAGATAATGCGGTCAGAGTGACCTGTCGGCAGATTTTCGAGTTTAGGAACAATGGAGTTTTTGATCATGAAGCCGACTCCTGAGAGGTGTTTTTCGGTTCTGGGCTTGCCTGACCAAAAGAGTGTGTAACCGGCACCATGTTCTCTGAGGCTGCCTTCTTCATGAAGGCGAACTTCACTGAGAGCGGCAATGTCGATGTTGAGACGAGCCAGCTCATGGGCAATTAGGGCAGACCGACGCTCAGGACGTCCGCTATCTGCAGAATCGAGCATGGTTCTGATGTTCCAACATGCTAGAGTTAATTTAGGTACACCTTTGGAGGCAGGTGCGTGCCTTTGTCTTTTGATCTTTGTGCGACCGCATTGGAGGAAGATGCCCGTTGGCCTGCGGTTAACCAACTGGGTGAAAGTGGAGATGAGCTTTGTTTAGGCCACCTTTTCTAGGCCCCTCTCCGAGTGGAGCAAGCAGTGCTGTCCTTGGAAAGGCTGCTTGGTCGTTCAGGGTGCTGCCCCAAGAGACTGTCATCTCCGGTCAGTCTCAAATGACCAATATCCTGCAGGGTTGAGTCTGCGGCTCCCAGTGCATCTTTCACCTGCCGTTTTGACCCTCGCCTGTCGCTACAGGACTTTTTGCATGTGGGTAAAGCCTTCAAGCCTGCGCAATGGATTTTTTAGGTGAGATGCAGTATGCGCGGAACTGAACCCACCCTTTAATCCTGAGGTTCATCTGCCAGGGCCGAGCGAGCTTGGACGGTGGCAGTGAGGTCCTCAGGACGTAGGTTTGATTAGAGTGACCTTCTCTTAGATGGATGGCCTTACAGGGCTAAACGAGCTCCATCTGCCCGGGTTTGGGATTAGAGTTGTCCTCCTAGGATGACTGCCAGAAGGCTAATGAGCTCATCCTGCCCACAGATTTATTGTATCCAACCCTACAGTTTTGACCTGTCTGGCATGGGTGACCCTACCGAAGGCATGTACCATCGCCAGCATAGCTTGCAACCACATAGGGGTATACAGGCTGCATTCCAACGATTAGGCCAAGTCTTACACTACCTAGTTTTCTGCCATCTGTCTATATTCAATCCCAGGGAAGCACCCAGGATCAGCCCTTTGTCCTGACCAACCTTTCAGGATGTAACAAATAAATCCAGGACATACCAAACCTGGGCAATAGCCACGGGTGAACCAAAAACAAACAAACGAGCAAAACTGTTCTGGCCACCATACCCACCTAGGGCTCGAGGACCTCTCCAGGCCCCAGCCCGACCAAGATCTCCAAGCCCCAGAGGAAACTATTATCCACCCTGATCTTGTCCTCCCCCCACCGTGTTTCCTCATAACTTCCCGCGCACTACTTACCTGACCACCCTCCAGTCCGAGGACCCCCACAGCCTGCCTGGTACCCCCCCCCCCTCCCCAAACCAGACCGGCAAACCTCTGTGTACTCCGAGGCTTCCATTCTCCTCTCTCTCCTTTCTCACAAGGGCACAGGGCCACGCCGGCAAAGCTCCCACTCTCCTTTCCCGCTGGGGGGGAGGGGACCGGGGGCGGCCCCACGCGGGACCCCGGGGCGGCCCCGCGCGGGACCCTTGAGAAGATAGAGAGAGCACAAATTATCCAATTACTATTCCTGGGTGTTATTGGTATGACGGATTTTTCAATTTTCTATTTCAATTTTCTATTAAAAAAAACATAGCAAGCCAAAAAGAGGGATCAGAACATATTGAACACGGCATATCTAAACTCCTGCCATTTTTGAGACAATGACATTTTATAGGTTGGAAGGAGAGGAGTAACAGAACAGAAGCTAATGCACAACTTTTTTCATTAAGTGAGGCAATATACAGGAAACACTGATTCAGCATAGTTGTACTGAAACTTAAAAATACTTCTATTCATTGTTTCTAGTATCTACCAAACAGAAAGGAGACAAAGAGCAGCAATATTATACTTTTCACTTTGATATCCTTAAGAAGTGTATAGACCTAGATGAAAAAAGTGAAGAGTGTAGGTTTTTGGAAGATGAAGAAAAATGTTCAATATATCCCAACCTTTCAAGAGGCAAGTAAACCATATGGGTATAGCATGTACACTCCTGAAGGGATGTGCAAGACTTTTAAAGGATGAAGAGATGCAGCTATCCCATAACTATCAGTGAACAGGGAGGTAGAGAAGTATATTACCTATGTCATCATCATCATCATCATCACATATTACCTATGTGAGAGAGCAAGTAATGCACAGAGACAGTCCAGCAGTCTAGGCCCATTTCAGAACAGACAGAAAAAAGCATGCAAAAGTAGAGCTCTCTGCATGATGGGATACTGCATGGGAACTGTTGACTGCAGTACTGACACTTAAAGCTCTATGTTTTTATCATCATGGAGTGTGGGATGGTAGGATCAAAGCAGTATTGTCAGATTCAAACCCACTAAGATGGTTTTGCAAGAAGGAAAAAACATCCAGTTTTGAAACTGCCTTCTCATGTAATTCTTTTTTGGGCATTTTTTTTTTCATCTTCTTTGTTTGTTTGCTGTTTTTTGTTAGTTGGTTAGTAATTTACTTGAAATAATCCTGAGTATAAGTATTTCTTACTCCTATCAGAATTGGCCACAACAACCCCATGCAGCGCTACAGGCTGGGCACAGAGTGGCTGGAAAGCAGCCAGGCAGAAAGGGACCTGGGGGTACTAATTGACAGGAAGCTCAACATGAGCCAACAGTGTGCCCAGGTGGCCAAGAAGGCCAATGGGATCTTGTCCTGTATCAAAAATAGCGTGGCCAGCAGGAGCAGGGAAGTGATCCTTCCCCTGTACTCTGCGTTGGTGAGGCCACACCTTGAGTAGTGTGTTCAGTTCTGGGCCCCTCAGTTCAGGAAGGATATTGAGGTGCTGGAGCGGGTCCAGAGAAGAGCAACAAGGCTGGTGAAGGGACTGGAGCATAAGTCCTATGGGGAGAGGCTGAGGGAGCTGGGGTTGTTTAGCCTGGAGAAGAGGAGGCTCAGAGGTGACCTCATCACCGTCTATAACTACCTGAAGGGAAGTTCTAGCCAGGTGGGGGTTGGTCTCTTCTCTCAGGCACTCAGCAATAGGACAAGGGGGCACGGGCTTAAGCTCCGCCAGGGGAAATTTAAGTTGGATATCAGGAGAAAATTCTTTACAGAGAGAGTAATCAGGCATTGGAATGGGCTGCCCAGAGAGGTGGTGGATTCACCATCCCTGGAGATTTTTAAACGCAGATTGGACGTGGCACTGAGTGCCATGATCTAGTAAATGGACTGGATTTGGACCAAGGGTTGGACTCGATGATCTCGGAGGTCTTTTCCAACCCAATCGATTCTATGATTCTAATTAAACTGAAGAAATATTTGAAGAGCAGCACACGTGATTCTGAGTTTGCAGCCCTTGGAGGTAGGGACTTTGCACCATTCTCATCCATCTCAAATAGATCTGCAATTTGTTTCTTTATGATTGTTTTCAGTGGTTATAAAACTTGGGCTTTCTATTTGCCTTACCGTATGATACCACAAAACAGACTCCTTCACGACAGTCTATATTTACACACCTCATGTTTGCTCAGCACTATAAAGCAACAACATAAAAACAAGCAGCTACAGCAGTTATTACAATCTCCAGTTAGTAAAAGTCAATCAGCTTTTGGCCTCATGACATAACATAACAGGTTATCTTCAGAAAGAGCCATTCCCAGTGTGTGGGTTGTCACCATATTGTGATGATTACTGATCCAGTTCCATATGTGGTGCACAGTTAAGACCACAGGAGATGACAATGGAAAAATAGAAGAGAGCACAGAAGTTTTAATGTTGAAAAGCATAACAAACTGGATGGATTTTTTTACAGTTACTTTGTCTCACTCCTTTCTGATTCATAATACAAGAGCATTATCCAAACAAATAAGTAAGCTCAAAAAAAGCATAATAAAGTATCATAATCGAAAGGATGATGGGAAATCTCTCTCTCCTTCTCTGTTTACTGGAAATGCCAATACATGACTAATAATGCAATCTCATTTAATGTTATTAAAATAGAGAAGATAATATGCTTAGTTTTGTTGTCTTCTACACTGTATGATATGGTAAGATGTTTCAAAAGCGTGTGTATATAATCCTCCACCTCAGAACCTTCCAGTAAAACAAAAAGCTTTCTTATAAAATATTTTTGCAATGAAATATCTGCTGTTTGGAAAGTTAAAAAATGAACTAATTAAAACTTTTTTAAATTGTCATCCTCAGAACATGTCAATTCTATTTAATAAACTATTGTTGCCCTCTAGTGTTCAAACACAGCTTGTAAAGGCCCCTCCAGAAAGATCCAAACTGGTCACCTAACAATTCCCAATTTGTTCTTAATCTGACACAACCAGTGGATGGCAAAAAAAAAAAAAAAGGTTTAAGTGTTTCAGTACACCTGCCTAATACCTTATTGTCTTTGCTCAAGCGTAAAAAAAGGTTTTTCATGTAAAGTTCTTTTACTCAAGTATTGTGAAAGGCCACTCACCAAATTAGTTATGGTACTTGTGCACCTTTCTGTCTTCTGCCTTTCACTGTGCTTGACATGCATTGCTGATTGGGTTGGAGGGCAATGTTTAATGATATTAGTCAAACTGTAGAATCATAGAGTGGTTTGGGCTGTAAGGGACCTTAAAGCTCATCTTGTTTCAACCCCCCTGCCATGGACTGGGACACCTTCCACTAGACCAGGTTGCTCAGAGCCCCATCCAACCTGGCCTTGAACCCTTCCAGGGATGGGGCAACCACAGCTTCTCTGGGTAATCTTCTCCAGTGCCTCACCACCCCTAGGAAGAATTTTTTCCTAACATCCAATTTAAACCTACCCTCTGTCATTTTTAAAGCCATTCCCCCTTGTTCTATCACTATATGCCCTTGTAACATGCCCCTCTCCAGCTAAATACATGCCCAGTGCTCTGAACAACCTTGAGATGTATCTGCTTGTCTTCTCTTGAACATTTTGCTACTGTACTGTAACTTATCAATTAACAGCAACCATCTTTCCCTCCAACAAATTACAGCAGAAATGCACAGTGAGGATTCAGGAGTTGTTCTCAGCACCTCTCCTGCAACAAGCTGCTGTGAGCTCACCTGCAATGAAGAAAGCTACTCATGAAGTTTTAGTTCTTATGAGAGTAAATTATGGTCAACCTAAGATCTGCATTTGCATTTTTACAGCTAGGCCTAGTACTTATCAGTCTGTGAACTCATTTCCTAAAAATGTTGTTTCCTCTTATCATGTTCCTTGACCAGAAACCTCTGAAAATGTCTATTAAAAAAAACAACTGAGGTTAAACAAAGTGCAGTCAACAAACAAGCTGATGAATTTGAGATACTTTTCTTTTGCAATTTTGTTCACCTTTAAGAAGTTACCCAGAATGTTTTTCATTTACAGAACAGCTGGATTTGGACCTATAAAGCAATGTGCAGCACCCCCCATAGTAAGAATTCAACTTCTTGACATTTCTTTGATCTCTGAATGGAATTTTCAGGGAATTTTCTTAGAGCTTTCAGAAAACTTGCCTTGAGGCCATTTCTGGATCACACCTGCTTCCCACCACACTAAGCTTGACAGATTTAACAATCTCTTGAACGTGAGTCACATTTCATATTTCGTAATAGAATTGTTTCCTTGCACTCAGGAGGTACCCTTCCTTCTCTGCCATGATGTTTGTTGTTGATTATGCTGCCTGACATGGATACTTTGAAATCTAGCCTTTCATTCTAAAAACAGGTTTAGACTGAGTGCATGCAAAGGGAAATCAAAATAATATGAACTGGGAGTTGTGGAGCAAGCAGTAGATGCTCACAGGCCCTCTCACTGTTGCAGTCAGGGAAACACAGATAATCACAGAATTGTTTAGGTTGGGAAAAAACTTGGAAGATCATCAAGACCAACCGTTAATAAGTTGCTATACTTATTACCAGTCACATGAAGAGGACCCTAGAAGTGAAGCGGGTGTGCTTTGAGAACCAGCAAGAGCTCTGTGTGTTCAGGAGGGACAGCAAGTCCAGCACTGACACACACGGTCCTTTTGAGAGCCACTAACGAGGGAAGCAGGTGAATGCCAGAAGCATGAAGATAATGCAGCCTTGTCCATCTGTTCCTGCTGACTGCAGGAAACCTCTTTGAGATGTGCACCCTCCAACAACATAGTCACCATTTTTCTCTAAAACTTTTTTACCTCTTGGTAGATGTTCAGCAAAGGGAGCCCACACCTTTCTGTGTGTCTTCTGCCAATAATACAGCTGTTGTCCTTGCTAAGCCCACTCACAGGTTTCTCCCCCTTCTTGAGATGTTGAGTCTCAGCGGTCAGGGATTTAGGTGTATTAGAACAAATTCTCTGTCGTGCATATGCCAAGTCACTTGGTGATGCAGTTTGTCACAAAAGACCTTGACTGTAGCTTGCTTTACTTTCGGAAGATAACTTTCTCTCTGATACACATTGCACAAATCCAAGCTTGAAAAGGGTAAATTCCACTCTTTGGAAAAGGCCAATTCAGATTTTTAGTATGTGGTTTTAAGGACAGCTCGTGATGTATGCAGAAAAAGAACTTTGAAGATATGTATATAACTATAAATTATATGTAGAAAAGGAAAATTAAGCTATGTTATATGTAATATAATTTTTACTGTTTGTACCTAAAACCATTTGGATGCAAAGCTCTATTACTAAGTATTCCTTTAAAGCTACAAATAGAGTAAATAGGATTGCCAGGCAACACTATGGCATTTGGTGCAAATAGCACTGAAAACACCCACGTGCTGCACAGGTACTCAATTTATTAGATGTACTTCTATTTCACTAATCTTGTCACAGTACAGATTAAGCTCATGAAATGCTTTTTCTCCTTAAATATAAGACCTTCTTAGCTTAACTTGGATTTGAGTGTTTATTCTCAGGATTTAGCATAAATCAAAAATGATAGACATTATAGTTCAGCGTAGAAAGAGCATTTCTTTTCCCCACCAAAACCATATCCTGCCTTCTGCTTTGCCATTAGAGGAGAAAAAAGGAATCCATCCTTTTCTGAGATTTCAGTATCTACTGTTCCATTTCAGAGTTGCCCTCTCAAAAGTTACATGCTCCTCAAAATTTTATTCCCTCTCCCCATCAGACATCAGAATACATTCCATTGATCAAGTAATCCAGCCTGGTATAATGCCTCTTCTGAAGAGATTCATGTATTTTCTTCCCTGTCAGTGCAATAACCAGCAACAAGAACATCACCCCAAAAAGCAAAGCTGCTAGAAGGCTGCTTTTCTCCCCCAGCTGAACAACACCTTTCCCTCTCAGAACACCCTCTGACAGGTAGCTTTCTGAGTCAGATGGGTCATAACCCTGAAGGTCATTTTGGGAAGATATGGGGGAATCACTAGTAGAGAGAATGAAACCTGAAAAAGAGGAGAGGGTTACATGGCTAGTATCATTGGAAGAGACAGCTGCTGGCTCAGGAGATATGGTTGGAGTCCTTAGCCCTGATGGAGCAGTAGTAGATGTGGAATTTGTGGTTGTAGAAGTTGTGGGACTGGAAAGAGGAACACGAGTAGCAGCGATGCTGGTGACAGGGACACCAGGTTTAGCTCCAGTGGCTGTGGTAGGCAGAGAGGGAGCTGTGGTGGTGGTGATTGTAGGTTCAGCAGCACCAGGATGCAGAGAGGTTGTACGAAATTCCAACCGGGCCGTACTTGCAGGCAGAGGAGTAAGAGTAGTACTGCTGGTTTCAGGAGCACTAGGCTGAGTGGTGGGGAATGAAGCAGTGGGGTTTCCAATGTGAACAGCAGAAAACATGTTTGGTGGCAGATTAATTACTTTCTGCCTTGGGATGGAATCTAAGTTCTCAGACTGTTTTGCCCTTTGAGATTCAGGAAAATCTGTATGAAATTCGATGTTGTCTAAATGCTTGCCTATGTGGTTCACGGGTTCAGATGCCTGATGAAATACAGATTGTTGCCAAGTGGCAGTATGATTCTGATGGCTATTCTGAGCGTGAGAAAAAATCGTTCCTGCATCCGAAGACAAAGAATACTCATTTGAAGAAAAGTTCTCAGTTTTGATAGATTTATCCTCTGGGGCCTGCGTGTCTGGAAACAGAAATACCAGTATTTAATTATTAAATCTATTTTTGACTAATATAGGTTTACTCAATTTGTATTACTTAGAAAGAGAGGCATAAGGGAGCTCCAGGAGGTAATGACTAATGAAACTGAGGCATCATGAACTTCTTTTCTTTAAAATATACACAGTGACATTTAAATTCTACATCAAAAATATCTGTCAGCCTCAAGCCTCATCACATCAGACCATGACTGCAACTTCTTACAGAATTTTCCTCTGCAGTGATCATCCCAGTGTGATTAGTTTATACCTACATTGCAGGTGTGTAAGCATTTATTTAGAGGTGAAAAGCAGAGTGAATAGGCTCACTGCCTTCAAACCATTCTCAGCCTCTGTGAGTTAAGAAGTAGATATTATCAATGTTACTTCTGTCAATTTTTTTGTTAGATGCACATTTCCACCTAGTTAATATGATTAGATACAGCCCTTTCTTGTAATGTCCAAGCACCCTGTGCCTGACACAATTCAATTCACATTCAAAAATTGTTTTGTGATACAAGGTGGCAATAACATCTCCATTTTATAGGACACTTTATACACATACTGATTTGTAGGAATGACCTGAGTTCCTACTGCTGTGCTTGAAGACACTGCTCCAAGAGTATGTGAGGTACTGGCAGAGAAGACCTCCATGAGAAGCAGACTACATTTTATAAACTTCTCCAGAAGCTCATGTATTCCTTGCAAAACAGGTGGCTGATGTCATTTAATAGAATTTGGAAGAAGAAGAACAACAGTGTTATGTGACAGAAATACTATAAAAATTATAATCCTAGCAGCTACCTGATTTTACACAGTACTACAGAAAGTATTTGGGTGAACACAAGTTCTTGGAAATACCGGCTAATTGTTCATTCAGATTTTATATATCTATATATGTATATAGATATGATTTATAATTATATTTATAATATAAAAATACAATATATATTTATAACAATTCAGCTGCTGCACAGAACATTTAAAAGGGAACATGCTCTCAAATAGTTCTGACTCTCACTCATTTGTTTTTATCATAGAAACAAAGAGGTTTGTTAACTGCAGTGGAATTGAAATAAATTTTAAAAAAGTCCATTACATTTTCATTGTCACTTTTTTCTCAAGTAGGATCTCTTATCTAGAGCGATGGATATATTTCAGTTTTACTATACAAACAAAGAAGCCTACTTGGCTGCTGTTTTAATATATCTTTCCAAGCCTTAAGATGCCACAAAAAAAAAAAACGAAGTGCAAAAAAAGCCAACCCCAAATAACAAACCAAAAAGCTAGCAATGCTAAAGAGTACAGCAAATACTTCATTTGAATCATGGGCACAATTTTATCTTAATCTTCCATCAAACATTGATTTTATAGTATTTTTTGTCTCCATTTTAAACTACAAGCTCCCAGATGCAGTGGCCCAAAACTGTCACATGCAAAGTACAGCTGGGGTATTAGGATAGATGTTCGTTGGTAAGAAAGAACAAGGGCACTATATGAATCAAACTTTAAAAGGAGCTGAAAAAATAAAATGGTCTTTCTGATATGTCAAATCCGATATGCTTCATTAGAAACCAAACTTCAGGTTGTCACTCTTCAAAAACAAACTAAACACCTCCTGAGCATGTTTTACTTCACAAGCCATAGGTTGTTTCCATTCATTAACAGCCACAAGGATAGTCAAAAAAAAAGAAAAAGCTAAATTTTATTACTAATGTAGCATCAGTATTTTAAGTTGCTTTATTACCAATAAATTATCTTTCCCCCTTTTATTCTGGTTTTCAGTGTAACCACATACACATCGTCATATGAAAGAACAAAGTTTGAAATGTTTGTTGGTACTGACACTGCTCAGGTGCTACCTTTGAAAACTTATTAGGAACATAAGGTAAATAAGCTAGGATAATCTTTCTCTAATTCAATGTTCACAGAAGCTAAAAACTGCAAAATGAAAGAGAGGTAGTATATGCAATCGAGTTGTTCACTCAGCATCGTACTATATGCAGAATGAAAGCACAGTTACATTTCTCGTTCCTTTGTTTGAAACCCTGATATTCTTGTAGGGGAGAAAGAGCTGGAGGAAAGAGTAGTTATAATAATAATTTTACGGGCATGCAGTTCATTTGTTGCACATTGCTTTTGCACAATTCCTGTGTGACTGTGCTTGCACAAAAACACTTGGTAACGTTATATGAGTAATCTTTCCATATATCATGCTGTTGCTCCTTGCAAATAGTTCCTCTTGGAAAAGCTCTCTTTTTCAGCAGGAGTTGTTTCTGGAAATATGAAATTTTTGCTCTCTCAAGCAGCCATACTGAAACCACCTTGTAAACTCTTGGCAGGACAATCTAATTATCAGTTTCTTATCTGAGCTGTTCAAACAAGTCTGGTGCAAGTCAATGTCAATCGACAAACATGCCTTGCCATTAAAAATCCCACAGCCTATGACAGAGAGCGAGAAATTCCTGAGTGTGCAGCCCATATACCATAAAGCTTCCAGTTTAGAAAGTTTACTTCTGCACTTCAGGTTCTCTTACTGAAAACAGAAAATAATGATTACCATTTGCAATTATTCATCAGTGTGACATGAGCCCTTTAAAAAGGGCATGGTATTTCCACTGCTTTCAGTGATACTCTCCATCTTTACATCCAGGAAATCTTCCTTGAATATATCAATATGGCAGCAGCTTCTTTTTGTTTTAAGCAAGGGCAAATGATGAGGAGTTCTCAATCTAATGTGAAGGAATTTTATAAGGGTCATGGTGTTATTCCAAGCAGGAAGCTGGGCCCACAAATAAGCTCACCACACACCCGTTCCTCCATTTTCCACAAAGCAAAGGAGCAACATTCTCAATTTATTGGGCTTGGCTTAGAACATTTTACTAAAAACACACAAAAACCCATTTTCTGGCCACTACCAAAAGTTCACAGGTGGAAAAGTCCTCTAGTGTGGGGGCTATTATTAAAATTATTATTATTAAATAATCTCACTATTATTTACCTGTAGTTATCTTGTAGCTCACAAGTCCTGGTGCAGGTTTCATCAGACAAGCCTCTGTGGTAGGGCAGTAAAAGAGGTAGCAGTTTGGATGTGCTTTTGCTCTTCCAGTATAAAAAATCATCAAATTACACTTCTTGTCTCCTGCAAAACATAATAAAACTTTTATAGCAGTATGATAATTAGCTCTATTTTGTTAATTTTTCTTCATGTAAGAGGAAACTACTAACTCGTAACATCCCTACAGGAAAAACAGCCAAGGAATACAAAAGAATGGCCTACGGCCAAAATACGAAAGATCACACCTTTCTCTTCCTGTACAAATAAAGTTGGGGAAATGATGAGTCTAATCCCTCATCTTCCCCTTACCTGTACCACAATGGCACCACTTTATATAACAATTTCTCACTTACAAATCCTGATAAATCTGAAAACCTCCTTGGTAAACTCCTGGGGAAGAAAATTATTTATACATTTTTCCCTATCACATCCCAGGAATTGCCTGTCTTGTTGCTGCCTGGGAGGGTCACCTTTACCCCTGTAGTTTCTACTTGCTGCTTTGCCTCCTACTGCTCCAAGAGCTTGATGCAAACCAACCATCACAGAGAAGGGTAAGCATTCTCATGTTTTGCTAAAATTAAATACAAAAATGTCAGTGCAAAATATTGGTCACTTTTTAGCGCATCTACTAAACACAGCCTAGGCATCTTAGGCTTTGGGGATCTGAGTTTTTAAGGCTTAAAACTACCACAGTTTCTATGATGCAACTATTTTCCTGAACACCCCGGGGGTCTTGCGTTGAGATCCAACATCACGCTTGGCTAAAGAGGGTAGCAGCCGCAAGCGGGTACTATCGAAACCCGAATGAAAGGATAAATTGACGTTCCTACGCTGAATACGGAGAACAGCGGCTGAGCATCACGCGAGCCCAAACCCCAGAAGTAATTTCCCAGGCGCTGGTAGGCGCTGGCGGAGAAGGCGGCCGAGGTTACCTGCGAGCCCGTCCCTGGAGCAGCAGGCGCGGGCACAAGCCCCCGCGCTGGGGACGCGAAGCGGCTCCGCGCCCCGGACGCCTCGGGGCAGGGACAAGTCTATATCGATGACGGAATTCTCCATTTTCTCCGCGGAACACTCCTGACTCAGGGACGGCCCGGCCATCACACAGGTGATCACCAGCAGGCGAACGGACCACCGGCTGCCCCCCAGGGACATGGTGACCGGGGCGGGGGCTCGGCGCGGCCCGGGGCGCACCGGGCGGGTTTGTTTCCAGCTGCGCGGAGCGCTGGCGGCCGGGGGAGCCGCGCCGAGGTGCCTCTTCTGCTCCCCGGGCGGGGAGGCGTTTCTGGGGGCACCTTCGGGCTGTCCCCCCTGCCGCCCGGTGGGGGGAAGGCAGCAGCGGGGCCCGGCCTGGCTCGGCAGGGCGGCTCAGGGGAACCGCGGGTGTCCCGGCACGTCCGGGAGGAGGGACCGCGGGAGGCGGGTCCGGGCCGCCTGCCTGCCCTCCTCCTCCCCCCCCGGCCTGCCCCCTTCCTGCCCTTCTGCCTTCCTTCTTGCTTACCTGCCTACCTGCCTACCTGCCCTCTTCTTGCCCTTCTCCTGCCTTCCTTCTTGCCTACCTGTCTGCCTACCTGTCTGCCTGCCTACCTGCCTGCCTACCTGCCTGCCTACCTACCTGCCTACCTACCTGCTTACCTGCCCTCTTCCTGCCCTTCTCCTGCCTTCCTTCTTGCCTTTCTGTCTGCCTACCTACCTGCCTATCTGCCTTCCTATCTTCCTGTCTGCCAGCTGCCTGCCTACTTGCCTATCTGCCTTCCTGCCTGCCTACCTGCCTGCCCTTCTGCTTGCCCTCCTCCTTTCCTCCTCCCTGCCTGCCCTCCTGCCTGCCCTCCTGCCTGCCCTCCTACCTGCCCTTCTCCTGCCCAGCTGCCCTTCTGCCTGCCCGGCAGGCCTGCGGGGGTGTTCCCGCTCCTCCAGCTGCTTGCCGGCACCAAGGGCTCTTCCTGAGCATCAGACACAAAGGCAAAACCACACGGTGAAATTCTTCGTTTGTCAGGCTATTGTGGTTTTGCCCACAGTCAGATCTGCTTTTGGAGGCTGTAATGAAAGTGATTAATATGCATATCCTGGACTAAACGGACATGGACGTATTTCCCTGTCTATGTAAGAGACTCCTTGCTACCTGAGTAATCCTGTTCAAACACAGCCAAACACAGGGTGTTTGCAGAATGGGAGTTGTACACAATAGCCTGTCTACTAGGACTGGTGGCTTAGCCATTCCTCCCTCAGCTATCTCTTTGAAATTGCTTGCTTAAGTAATGTTTTTGCTTGGAAATTTTTCATTTCCTTTTTAAAATTTTTTTCTTATTATTTTTGGGGTGGTGTTTAAGAGTAAAAGTAGCCCAGAGACAAATGAGTGCAAAGAATAAAAGGATTGTAGGACACATTCCTTCTTTTTCAGGAAAGAGACCTTTAATGTAGTTTCCTGTAAATAAAAGACATTTTCTTTTTAGAGATGGTACATTACCTGAAGAGATACCAAAGGGCAGGTTATTTTATATATTATAATGATTAGATGCCAAGGGATGGATGTTCTTGATGCCCAGTCAGTCCCCTTGGTCAACATGGCTGGGTTTTGGCTTTTTTCTGGACATGATTGTTCTAAGAGACTGAGCCCACCATAGCATTTTGCATCAAATGGCCATTTTGGGGCAATTCCTAATGTTTGGTTGTGATTCTCACATTCTTGCTGGGGTGCTTTTATCTGAAATTTTCAGCTGCACTTGTTTAAGAAAATGTTTCTAGCCAGGCATTTCTCTTTTGGTAAACTGGTAACATTCATTGTTCAAAGAAAAAGTTGTAAGAGAATGTGAACACTTAAGGTGTCACCTATTAACTGCATCACACAGTGAATGACAATGGGAATGAATACTAAAAGTGAGCCCAGGTATTACTCCTACTATATGTTAGACAAAGTTGCATCTGCCACCTGCCTTTGCTTACAGCATGGTGGTGGTAGAAGCCAAGCAGAAAGAAGCTGAAAATTAAGTCTAAAGGTCTGTCTGGGTTGGTGGTAAGGGTGAGGACACTTGTTCTTTACCAGGACTGTTGGGATAGTGTTAATGGTGTGAGGGTACTGTAATGATAGTGAATGTGAAAATATACACAGAGACTACTGTGGTGGGACAGGCACAGATGATTATGGGAATATGAGAAGGGCTGATGTGATCTATAATATGAGCAGGGCAGAAGAGATACTGGGGATAACATGACTGCCCCGCTCCAGCCACCATGGCTGATTTCTGCTCTTCCTGCCTCTTCTTGGTAGGCAGGTGCTCAGCCTCCCTGAGGAGACTAGAAGCAAATCTGTCAGGCTGCTGAGGTGCAGGGAAGCCAAGGTCCATCAAAAGCTATGCAGAAACCTTGTCTGCTGGCTAGGAAAGTGCCAGCCTTGCCCAGCAGCTGCTGTGCTCCCTTCACCACTGAGATGGGAAAGAAGGGAGGCTGAGAGAGGGAGAATGGAGGGACCCCCAACTCTGCGTCATGGTGCTAAGTCACTAAAGGTGTTTTCCTGCTTCTGTAGAGCACCTCTCTGCTTGAGAGCCAGTGCTCATGGTGAAACACTTGGGCACAGATAGGATGAACTTCTATTGTATTCTATTGGGTTACAAAAGTACATAGTACAGCATACAGCCTATAGCTAGCAAAAGGTGATATTGGATTGGGCTGATGTTCTCATGAGATAGTATTTCTTTGTGTTAAATTAAATCTTCGTGACAATTAGCAAAGGCAGCCAAGAAAAATGGTGCTGAGTTTGGTGCAGAGCTTTTGATGATGTTGGGCTTCGTGCATGAGCAGAGAACAGGCTTGCTCAGAAGCTAGCACGCACCAGTGCTGGTCCTATTATAGACAATTCTTCTGTCACAGACAATTGCATGCTGCCTTTTCTGATTTGACTCCCAAATCTTCGTTCGCGAAGCCTAGCCATGAAATCTGAAATCTGAAAGTATGTTTTCTTTTCATTTTCACTTGTGTGTTTTCGGTTTGCCTTTTTTTTTCTTTCTTTTTTTTCTTTTTTCCTAAGCCTGACCTCCCTGTGAACTTTTGATCTGGGCTGCTTTTCCCTCACTCCTGGCACACTTGTATATAAGGCAGCTGGTGATGGATGTTGCCCAGACTGCTCCGTGCCCAGTTGTCTGGGGTTTGGCATGTTTGTCTTAGCAGAGAAGAATTAATACATGCAATTAAAGAAATCCCAGAATCACAGATTTGTTAGGGTTGGAAGGGACGTCTGAAGATTACTAGTCCAACCCCCCTGCCAAGGCAGGGTCATTTAAGGCAGGTTACACAGGAACTCATCCAGGTAGGTTTCAATGTCTCCAGTCAGGGAGACTCCATGCCTTCCCTGGGCAGCCTGTTCCAGTGCTCTGCCACCCTCAGTGTAAAGTTCTTCCTCATGTTAAGATGAAACTTCTTGTGCTTTATTTTATAGCCGTTACTCCTCGTCCTGTTGCTGGGCACCACCAAAGACTGGCACCATCCTCTTGGCACCTACCTTTGAGATATTTATATGCATTAATGAGATCCCCTGTCAGTCTTCTCTAAAGTAAACAGGCCCAGCTCCCGCAGTCTCTCCTCATAACAGAGATGCTCCAGACCCCTCATCATCTTTGTGGCCTCTGCTGGACCCTCTCCAGTAGCTCTATGTCTCATACTGAGGAACCCAGACCGGGACACGGTACTCCAGCTGTGCTCTCGCTAGGGCCGAGCAGCGGAGCAGGATCATCTCCCTCAACCTCCTGCCCAAGCAGATGAGGGATGCTCTGCACCGCCCCGGCCCGAGAGACCCATCCGTGCCCGCTCGCCGCCACTCCGGCGGGGCAGAAGCGAGAGAGCCCGTCTCGCTCCCCCCCTTCGCTGGGCGGCCCCGAGCGCAGCCCCGCCCGCGGGCGGAGCCGCCGTGACCCGGCACCGCCGGAACCCCGTGGGCGGGCGGCGGCTGCGGCGCTGCCCCCGCGCTGCGGGAGGCGGGGAACGAGCGGCCACCGCCATGGGAGCGGAGCAGAGCGCCGAGGCCGAGAGCCGCCCGGGCGAGCCCAGCGCCGCAGGTCGGTACCCGCCGCCCGGCAGGGATGGGGGGGGAAGAGGGAGGGAGCGAGGGAGGGAGACAGAGACAGGGCGCCGTGAACGGGGCTGCCCCCCGGCGAACGGGGCTGCCCCCCGGCGAACGGGGCTGCCCCCCGGCGAACGGGGCTGCCCCCCGGCGAACGGGGCTGCCCGCGGGCGGTGGCGAGGGGCGGCGGCTGTGGATCAGGGAAGAGCTTTCCTTGGGAGGCAGCGGTGGGCGCCGGCCCGGCCCTTCCTGTGACGGCGAGGGGGCACCGCCCGGGCCGGGGGGGGCAGAGCCGGAGAGGTGGGAGCACAGTGGGCAATGTGGGTGTGGAGCTAAAGGAGGAGGAGTGAGGAGGGTGTCAGTGGTGCAGGTGTTTCAGAATCAGCTGTTACCCGATTTGGAAAGCGAGAAAGGAGCTTAGAGTCTTCCGGTGATCTCGGTGATGTGTTTGTACTATAAAAAGCATATCTGTACAATGTTAAATAGAGCAACATTCACATAGGGTTGGATTCTGATGGAATCTGCTTATTAATTTGATTGTTCCCTTTCCCTCCCATATCCTTCCTTTGCATCTCCTTTGCCAGCCAAGCAACGCGCAAAAATGGACGACATTGTGGTGGTAGCCCCAGGAACACAATCCTCACGGAATGTCAGCAATGATCCAGATGTCATAAAACTGCAGGAAATTCCAACTTTCCAGCCCCTTTTGAAAGGTAGGTGATCGTTCTTCCTCTGTTTTTAAAAGCCGTCTTTTTTTTTTTTTAATACCTAATGGAATGTGTGCTTTGTGTATCCTGAGGTTCCTACTGAAGTTCATATTTCTGTCCCTATTTTTCACTATCCCTCTTGTTTTAAACCTTACTTTCTTTTGTTCTGTCCCAACCTTCTAAATGGTGGATGAACTGGTTTAGAGATGTGCTAGTAATCTCTGCAGTGGAGCCATCTACTATGAAGACAAAAGAGTTCTGAGCATACCAGCTTGCCCTGTACCACTGGTTGATGGGATATGCTATATTACATTCTGATATATAATGGATCACAGTCTCCAGTTTTGCTCTAGTTTCTTAAAATCAGTTGTGTGTTACTCTCTCAGAGTCGTAACTACCTGTGTATGCATTCAGTTTTTTGAAATCAAGATATCTTATGGGAGTTTCCAACATAGAGCAGATTTTGCTCTTGTTTTTTTGGGGTGGGATACATGGACTGAGGCTTTTCTTTGTTTCTTTTCCTCACAGTTTTTTTCGTACATCCCTTGCACTCATTACATGTTCTTTCTATTCTGTTCAAAGGGAAGTGAAGATTTCAATCAAAACTGTCAAGCCTACAGTGTAACAAAAACTCTTTGTGCATTTTGTGGCCTGGCTTCTAGCTATGTATTTTTTGAGGAGTCTGCACAGTATCATTAGTATCTGAAAGTCCCTTAGGAAGGGAGATGTCTGGAGCAGCCTGCACAAATTGGTTTGGTAAAAGCAGCCTCCTCTTGGGTTCCTCTCCCTGGTACAGTGTGGGTTGGCAAATCTGTGTGGATGTACTGTGTAGTGGACACTCAGTGAGCCTGTGTTTTTTTGGAAATGCAAGGCCTGCTGTGTGTGCATACATGGGCATCAGCACTTGCTCATGCCTTGCAGGTCTGCTATGACAGAGAGGATGGAGCTGGGATGTTTAGCCCTCCCTACTGCTGGAAGAAATGATGTGGTGTTGTACAACTGAGGGTTTAGGTCACTGATTCATGCATGGCTGCCAGGAAGTTATTGGAACCACTTTGCCCTAAAGGCATCGCTAGAGGTAACGTAGCATCACAACATCACTTTTTGGCCAGAAAGTCGTTACCTTTTTTTGTTTGTTTATGTCTGCTACATGAGGACCCTGGAACATGACTAGAAATTGTGGACATTATGACAGCCTATCAGGCAAAGCAATTGGCATTTTGTTGGGTACTGATAGATAGGGTCTAGATGTCTGCAACACTGACTGCTGTTTTCAGCAGAAGAGGCAGAGAGTAGGGAGAGCATTAAACAAAGCAGAACATGCTTTGGCTGTAAAGCAAATGCTGTGTCCTGCTTTGTTTGTAAGGATCATACCAGCGACAGCTTGAAATGTAAATGCTGGAACCCAAATCCACAAAAGAAATGAGAAAGTTTTTTGTTAGGAGAGACCAAATTTCGAAGATGCTACAATATGTGGCACAGAGGTGGTTGCGTATGTGTAAGAGTGCGATGACAAAGGATTTCAGTTCCACCCAGCCTCAAACTGGTGAGCAAACCTGGGTTGCACAAGGCCTGTGGAAGGAAGTCCTGGGAAGTGGGACTAATGACCACTTCCAGGGGCAGTGTTCTTGTATATGTGTTTGGGTCACAAGGATACAGGACTTGGTGTGGGAAGTGAGGAAGAAGAGAGAGCAGCAGCCATGTGGCTGAGATGGAAAAATTGGAAGGCACTGCCTTAGATGACCAGTCCAGGTCCTTCAACTCCTAAACATGCATGTGTTGTCTTGGTGACTGTGTTGCTTTCTCTGGTCTTACTTTGGACCTGAAGCTGTGGATGTATGACAGAAATCTTCCTTTCTGTTCCTGTCACTTGGCCTGCTATTTCCCTAGAGTCTCCTGAGACTTGGTGGTATCTGGTGACTGCTCAGGAGTTTTGCATGCTGAATCGCTTTTGTGAATAGCTTTTTCAGCCTCAAGTACTTGGTATTACTTGGACAACCAGACTGTGATACTTGTGTTCAGTACAAAAAGCAGTGTGTGCCTGTTGAGTGAGTTGACTCTTGAGGGACTACACATCTGCCACAGGCCCAGTTGAGAAGCTGTTCTGTTTTGGACTGGTCTCTTATCTGTATTCTTCACATGAAAGATTATTTGTCTGGAAAGGCTGAAGAAGTTTCAAGGTTTTAGGAGCTAATTCTAAAAACTTGTGCCTTGTGATCTGCCAGCTTGGGGAGCTGAAGAGGTGAACTTAGATTCCCTGTGGGCTTCATTATTCTATTTAGTTTCTCTTTGTCTAAGCAATGCCAAGCAGTTTTATTTTGCTTATAAGTCTCAAAAGAGGCCTAATAATTAAATAAATGGACTGGAAAAGCACATGGTCATGTAAAACACTGCATGTTCCTGAGAGGCAAAAACACTTGTTCCTCCTAGCCATACTGAGTTGAGCTTGTGATCAATGAAGCTGAAAATCTTTAGCATTGTGCACTCTTCACTTGGAAGAAGATGCCAGTGTCATATCCATTACATCTTTCATACTATATTTTCCTCAACTTCTACAGGAAAAAATTGTACCTTAGAGTTACAACTATGAGCCCTTGTGAAAAGTCCCTCTCTAGCTTTCTTGTAGGCTCCCTTCAGGTACTGGAAGGCTGATATAGTGTTGCTCAAAGCAACTTGACCATGAAGACCCCTCATGATGAGGCATCCACAACTTCTTTGGGCTACCTGTTCCAGTGTCTTACTACCCTCATCATAATAAAATTTTCTTCCTTATGTCCATTCTAAACCCGCCCTCTTTCAGTCTAAAACCATTTTCCCTTGCCCTTTCATTACAGGCCCTGGTAAAAAGGCTCTCTGTCTTTCTTAACAAGCATTATTTGTTCTATGGAAGCTTTCTTGGAAACGAAACTTTTTCCTACTTATGGCTAGAATTCTGCATTGACAGGTATTCAGCATGAAAAAGCAAAAGAAACAGGGATTACTCACTGCAAAGTCACTGTGCAAGCAGCAGAAGCTTCTTTACACTGTTGTGCCTCCTCCCATCCTCACAGAATTTTGCAGTTATTTTGCTTTCCAATCTCGTTTCACGGTTCTTCAGGTCAACCTGGTGGTATTGCGACCATTAGGTTGGATATTAGGAAGAAATTCTTTACAGATAGAGTAATCAGGCATTGGAATGGGCTGCCCAGGGAAGTGGTGGATTCTCCGTCCCTGGAGGTTTTTAAGATGAGACTGGATGTGGCATCAGTGCCATGGTCTGGTAACCATGGTGGTAGTGGATCAAGGGTTGGACTTGATGATCTCGGAGGTCCCTTCCAACCTGGCTGATTCTATGATCCTGACTGGTTGACAAAAGCTGCCAGATAGGCAGTGAGTTTCAGCTTCTGCTAACAGGGCAGGGAGGACTGTGACTGTCCTCTAGGTGGGTCTTGTACATTAAAATTAACCTGTAATTAAAACAACACCTGTAGTAACTGGAAAAAAAAATTTTGTCACCAGTCCCCTGTAAATATTGGCTACGTTTTTGTGCTGCCATTTTACTTGTCCTGTCCTCCTTGTTTGAAGGAAGCAGTTACCAACATCCCTTGGAAGCACAAGTGATACTGAGTACTGAGCATAAGTGGTACATACCGTGAGTTCTGAATATGGGCTTGCAGTTATTTGAAGTTAAGTCAGGAGCCTTGTTTTGTGTTCTGAATTATCTATGGAGGAAATCTCAATACTAAAAAAATAATTTTAATGCTAGATGTTTAATTGTTGAAGCTGTTGCTACTGCCTGCTTGGCCTGCTGCACAAGAACGTGATGATAATTTTCTTTTTGTTTTGTTTTGTCCGATGGTCTTTGGATTGTTGCGTACAAGTTTCCATGAGAGCAGGGATTGTTTCTGTGTAAGCAATGTGCTGATATGCAGCTGAAGACTGTGGCTTATGAATAGTTCAGCTACGTCATGTGCAAATTGCATTTGTCATCCCGTGCAGCAAACATGTCATGGGAACTCCTGATCCCTCCAGCATTGAGAGGAAAAAAGCAGTTTGCTGAGGCTTACCTGCATTCCTAAGCATATCACATAGGTGAGAGGCATCTTCTCTGCAGACCTGCAGCAAGTTACTTGTGCACTCTGTTCCTCTGTCAAACATAGATGGTCTTCATGTTGTAGCCTTAGGAAGGGCATTGTGTGCAGCTCATTAGCATCTTCTAGCCCAAAATAACCGGATTCTTGTCCTACGAATAGTACCACTGTTTTTCTAAGAATAGCAAAGCAGGGGAGGTTGCTCAGTAAGGTTGTGGCATTTCTGTTCTTAATGCTTTTAAGGGCACGTTAAGCAAAGATCTATCAGTCATGAATTGGAAGTAAGTGAATACATTATGGCTAACACAGTGAGATCTTTACTAACTATGCCCGTTACTTTACTGCCCGTTATGCATATTTACGTTGCTTTGTTATTTATCAAGAAAGGTATTTCACAAAGAACAAAATGAGACCTTTACTCTGAAAAGTCTAGAGTACAGTTTACCTGGAAATAGTGTAATAAGGAAGCCCAAGCTCTGTGGCAGAAAGAGTCTTGAAAGATAGATCCAGCATAAGGAGTGCCATTTTGATCTCAGTATATTTTAAAGGGAAAATTTGACGATGTTATTTTCATTATAGCTGGTGTACGACTTCAGCAGAGAAGCATAGGGAGATGATGAGAAATCTGTGAGAGAGAACAGTGGTGAAAGTTGTGATGCTGTACTGATGCTGCAGGGATCTTGTGTTGTCCTCCAATGACATGAAACATAAGCTTGTGTTAGGCAGCTTGAAAGGATTGTTTTTACCTTTCAACTTTTTATGATGTCGTTTTTCAGGAAGGAAAACTACTTTTCTAAAAAATGTATTTTTCTTTCTGGCATAGTGTGTAGAGGAAGGATGGATGTTTAGAGTTTTTTGCATTTAAGACAAGATTTTGTCAGATCTCACTCCTCAGGATTTTCTGCTGACTTACATCCTCTTTTTTCTCCCGTTCAT